TGGTTAAGGTATAGTTTCTCGAAATCCTATACGTATCAAATGACTATACATTATATAAAATGCTAACTAATGCCTGAGTTTAGGTTGCAATTGCGGGTGATGATGAACCAAGAGCACTTTTCCCAAGCATTATAGGTCGTCCTAGTCACACATGAGTGATGGTTGGGATGGGACAAAAGGATGCTTATGTTGGAGACGAGGCTCGGTCAAAACGTGGTATCTTGACTCTTAAGTACCTTATTGAACATGGAATTATTAACAACTGGGATGACATGGAGAAGATTTGTCATCACACTTTCTACAACGAGCTGCGTGTCGCCCCTGAAGAACACCCAGTTCTCTTAACCGAAGTTCCACTCAATCCCAGGGCTTACCGTGAGAAGATGATTCAGATCATGTTTGAGACATTCAAAACTCCTGCTATGTATGTTGCTATTCAAGTTGTTTTATCACTTTATACCAGTGGCCGTACAACTGAACTGGTTAGTATCACACATTTAATTCTTTTTCCGAACATTCGTAATGGTTCATTAGATTTGTGCTCAACTGATCCACTATTGATTAGTACCAGGCCATGGCTTCCAGAATTTAGGTTGTATGAACACTTTGTTTGAGATAGAACCAAATTTGTTTTTGAAATTGGTTTGATGAACAAATAAAAATAAACATTAAATTATGAGAAAATGACTAGAATAGACCTAAAAAATTTGTTTGTCACGAATATAGATCTTAACAATTAAAATGACCAAAATAGCACTTAAATGTTTTATTAAATATACATTTTACCTCTTGGATTAACTAATCCTAGACTTTTTTGTTTAGAGTTGAGGAGTGAAGTTTTGGGGATAGGGTTTCAATTTTTTTTTTTTTTTTAAAAACTTAAAATTTTCAAAATAAAAAGTGCTATTTTGGTCATTTTAATTTTTAAGATCTATTTTTGTGATAAATACTTAAAAGAAGGCTATTTAAGAGAATTGCCCTTTAACAGTATTTTACTCTAAATAAAATTTAATCTTCGTGATACCAAATGTATCTTTGATAACTTAAAATAGAGGTCATTTTAATTTTTAAGATCTATTTTTGTGATAAATACTTAAAAGAAGGCTATTTAAGAGAATTGCCCTTTAACAGTATTTTACTCTAAATAAAATTTAATCTTCGTGATACCAAATGTATCTTTGATAACTTAAAATAGAACTAGAAGTATAATAAAAGATTTACTCAATTGTCAATGTTTTTTACTTCCTTGCACAGAAATCTTGTTGGTTCAGTTAAAACACTGTTGCTACGTTTTTGCACACGCGATCTTGCGTCTTGACTTAGCAGGTCGTGACCTAATCTACCTAACCGATTACCTCATGAAAATCCTGAAAAGTGGCTATTCTTTTACCACGTATGACTGCTGAGCGTGAAATTGCTGGAGACATGAAAGAAAAGCTCTCTTACATCGCTCTAGACTATGGACATGAGCTCGAGACTTCCAACACAAGCTCATCTATTGAGAAAAGCTTCGAGCTTCAAGATGGACAAGTAATAACCATTGGAGCAGAGATGTTCCGATGTCCAGAAGTTCTGTTTCAGCCATCAATGATTGGAATGGAAAATCCAGGAATTCATCAAACAGACATATAACTCTATCATGAAATGTGATGTGAAAATATTAGGAAATATTTGTATGGAAACATTGTGCTTGGAACCACAAAGTTTGGTGGGATAGGTGATAGAATGAGCAAAGAGATCACAGCTTTGACCCTAGTAGTATGAAGATTAAGGTTGTTGCTCCATCGGAAAGAAAGTACAGTGTTTGGATTGGTGGCTCTATATTGGCTTCTCTCAGCCCTTTCCAATAGGTGAATACATTACATAACTAGCTATCTTTTTTTTTTTTTTATCTTAGTATATACACTTGCCATGTTTTGAGTTATGTATTTGAAAAGATTACAGATGTGGATTGCAGAAGCCGAGTACGATGAATCTGGACCATCAAATTGTACATAGGAAATGCTTTTAATCACAATTCATGTAAATGACGATCATGGAAATAATGTTTAATGCATTTCTTTGAGTTCAGTTGCTTCCGATCAAAATTACAAAAGAACAATTTTAAGTGTCAAAATTACAAAAGAACAATTTTAAGTGAAGAAATATGAATAAAAAGAAGTGGCAACTGGTTGTAGGCTACAACTTGTAGCCTGAAAAAAAAAACTCAAATGTGAAGTGTTTGCGTTGTACATGTTAAATCCAATTGTCATTTCTTTATTTTTTTTTTGAAAAAAGAACAATTATAATCATATTTTCCCCTTGAATTGCTCTTTGTAATTTTAATTGGGAGTAGCCTAACTCAAAGAAATGCATTCTGTACTACGTTATTTATTCCGTTAATTTAATCATTTAAAATAATTTTTAAAAAACTGTTTTTGCTAATAGTATCTGTTACTAGGATAAGATCCGCGCCTTGCGCGGGATGAAATTATTATTTTTATTATGTTTTGGAAAATGAAACAATAGTTCGGTTTCATTTGGATTAGAGGTGTTCAATCCAGATATCGGTTTTCGGTTCGGTTCGATTTTTTGATATTTCGGTTTTTAAATATAACTACTATTTTAAATCCATATTTACTTCAGCTTGATTTGGTTTATATATTGGTTTTCAGTTTATTCAATTATATAGCAAAAAAACATAATTATTTAGTTTGAGATCATATTATATATTATAAACATAAATAATATGATCATGTTTAGAGTCAAATTCTCAAAAAGTCATTTACTAAAAAAATATTATATATTTAAATAAAAGAATTAAAAAACAAAAAAAAGTTTCTATCATCTAATAAAATGATCAAATTTAGAACTAATATCAAAGCTCTAAATTTTGAAAATAAAAATAAAAAACAAAACAAAAGCATGAAAGAAAATTTTTTATATTCTTCCATATTTAGTGTTCATCAATTTAATATGTCTTCGATTGAACACAACTCTGTTTGTTTAAAGATTAAAAAAAATTGTAAAGACTTTCAGCTAATTGTTGTCTATCAAATTTATAATCTTTACTTCAATTTAGTTACTGTTAAAAAAAAACAAAAAAAAAGATCAAAAAAGCAAAAAAAAAGATCAAAAAAGCAAAAAAAAAAAAAAAGATCAAGAAAATAAGAACCCTTAGTTGCAGTAAATTGTTAGTTAATTATAGTTCAAGTGATTCAATTGATTTACAAATTATAATTATAGTTCAACTCATGTAACAAATATATATACATATTTACATGTTTCAGTTTAATCGGTTATAAATCAAACCATATCCATATCCAAATCCTACGGTTTTTATAAAATCATATACATTCGGTTTGTATGGTATATGCCAACAATAACCATATTATCGATTGTTTAATATTTTTAAAAAATATAAAATTAAAAAAAAAGAACTAAGATATTTAAATCATTGATAACAAAAAATTTCAATGTGAAAAATTTAATAAGTTTATAATTTATAAATGTTCTTGAAAATTCATTGAAATTTTTGAAACTAAAATAATTATGTAATCTTATATGGTATATAGTTTAATCAATATATATATATATATATATTTGTTTTTTATTATTGAATAATACTTTTTACTCATACAGTTTTAAATCATGTGTATCTTTTTATAATAAAAATGTTAAACTATTGATCATTAATTTTTAACATAACAATTTTAATAGTTTTAGTCATTTATTATCCTTTTTAAAATTTAAAATATAACATATACAAAAAAATCTAAAGTTTAATTTTATATCTAATTTGATTGTTCAATTTATTTTAATAATATAAAATTAAAGAGAAATAATGGAGGGGATATAAATTGTTATCAAATATTTATTATTAGAAACATTAATTTTCATATATATATATATATATATATATATTAGTCATTTATGGTAATTCCGTAGGTTTTATTTAAGGAAAGAAAATAAAATATTAATTATATCTAGTGGAACAATCATAAATGCTTCTATCGTAAATATCATATCATCATATCATATAGTTTGATTAACAAATGTATCTAGTGATATATAAAAATTGAATGTGGACCTACTTATTTTTCAATTGAATGTAATTGACTACCTAATTGAGTGACACCTAAGCATGAGTTCTTTTTTAATTATTACAAAATTGAGGTTATAATTTTTCAAATGTTTCTCTTTTAATATATAGGGGATTTACGATTTGCATATATTAATTTTTACATAAATTCTCAAGTTAACATATTAAGTTTTACATTTTACATATACACTTGCCTTTACCATTAAGTTTGAACTTGGTCACAAAGTATTTTCCATTTTACATATACACTTCTGTAAATTAAAAGGAATGAAGTTATAGTTAATATATGCAAATCGTTATCAATTACCTACTATAATTATGATTTCGTATATTTTCCTTTTCTTCCATTGCATGTATTAATGTGTCCGCAAATGTTATGACCCGGTTACATGCGTGGGATATATATATTAATGTAAACTCGGTTACATGCGTTACATGTGTCTGTAATTATTGTTTCCCTAGCAAATTTCAATTGAACCTAAAACTGCCACGTTAGTTTAATTGGTATGCTAATTGATTGACAACTAAGCAAGATTACTTTTTAATTATTACAAACTTGAGGTTACATCTTTTCAAATGTTTTTCAATTAATATATAGGGGATGTTTTAGGTAATGCATAAGTAAAACTGGAGTTTTTAAATACAAACGTTACTTTTTTTGTTAACAAAGTTTTTAATAATATATCATTTTAATCACAACAAAATCCATTCTATATAATTTAAAGTTTTAAAGCATCAGTGACTATTAATGTGATGGTCTTAATGCGATTTCCCTTCTTATATATTTTTTTTTAATTTTGAATATTACATGCCATACGGATATGGTCGTGATAACCGTTCCGGTATTTCGTGGGTAAATAAATTCTCTAGCTTGACGTTTAATTTCGGTTTATCTTAAACCGAATTGGAACAATAATTCTGAACATTCATCACAAAGATCCTTCCTCGAGATCTCTGCCAACAAAATCTTCAAATCTAATTGGTGAATCCCTAATTCAAGGAGGAAGCAAAGAAGCAATTGGTTCAGAGACAGCGTACGAATCAGAGATGTCGAACGGTACGGAACAGGCGCGTAAGCGTGCGGCGCCAGGGGGAGACAACAATTGGTTGCCACCTGGTTGGAGAGTCGAAGACAAGGTTCGAACCTCCGGTGCTACAGCTGGTTCCGTTGATAAGGTCTATAAAATTAAAAACCCTCTTCTCTTTATTGCTTACAGTGTTAGTAGAAATAAGAAAGATGTTGCCTTTACATATGTTTAGAAAGGAAGAGAATGGATTGGTATGGAGTTTAGAGAGAAGTATGTAACTGATCCTGTATGTGTTTTGCAGTACTATTACGAACCAATCACAGGACGTAAGTTTCGATCAAGGACCGAAGTGTTGTACTATTTGGAACATGGGACTTGTAAGAAAGGAAGCAAGAAACAAGACAACACTGATTCCAGTTCAGACGTGAGTTTTTAAATCTTTAACTGTCTTTTTTTTTTTGTTCTTTTTCAAACTTGTGGATCTTGTGTTTTGCAGCATGTTGAAGGGCAAGGAAGCAATAAATCCAGCAAAAAAGCTAAAGAGCAGCAGCCAATACCTCCGCGGCCGCGATCGCCGCCTTTGAAGTTTGATTTTGAGAATCCGCCTGAGAAGGTAAGCTGGTCTATGGCAAACGCAGGGGAAGAAGTTTGGACACCTTTTGTTGGGGATAACAAGGTTCAAGATTCATTGAGACGAGAATGGTGCACTGCGTTTACTGTTATTACGACCAAGAACCCAACTAAACTGTCATCGTTGAGACGTTGATAGACAGACAAGGTGGCGTTTATTTTTGATTGTTGCGTCTGTTGTAACATAAACAGGGGTGGTAGTTATTTAACTGGGAGGTGGTGGCTTAGTTTTGACATGATTTAAGTTAGTTGTACTTTAATTTTCCTAGCGTGTTTTTTGGAGGAATGTGCTAATAAGCTACACATATCTGCGTTTGCATTTGACACATTATGGACATCGCTTTTTTAACTGATAAAAATGAAGACTCTTGTGTAGTGACGAAGCTTTTCTTCTAGGACACTTGGACATAAAACTTTTCAGTGTTCCAGAGTCTTCTACGAAAAGTTCTTACCTCTTGACCAGGCTGGGGTATTTGAAATCTTAAGATCCCAATTCTTCTGACACTGATTCAGAAAGCTGTGGACACATACTGATTACAAAATGTGTAAGCTTGAAGTAAGACTGCGGTTAAGAACAAAAGTGGTAAGACTAGAGATAAGGTGATGACAATTCAGGCGGTGGCTATGTTATTGGAAAGCTAATGGAACGATGAGGTATAGCAAACGAGCTTGATGATGAAATTATTGTTGACTAATATGCTGAAGATGGTTTTGCTTGCTCTTTCTACTTTAAAACTGCAAGATTCCTATGTATATAAAGAGGATTTACCCCCAAAAAAAGTTTGTGTGTGCATAAGGAAAATGAATGCTACAAGCATCAGTTCATTCCATCTCCAAGGAAATCCAGCAAAACAGAACCTTTACAAATTACTAAGTAGACAAGAAGCGTCTGTAGTCCAACGGTTAGGATAATTGCCTTCCAAGCAATAGACCCGGGTTCGACTCCCGGCAGACGCAATTTTGTTTTTTACCTATTCTTTCAGTTAGACTTTTTCAAAGTTAAAAACATTGCCACGGAGGAATTTGTATATTTGTGGGTAGTAAGCAATAAATTAGCTTTGAATGGGACTACTTTTGCTTTCTTGACCTTAAGGCTGTATAATAAATTATTACAAAGACATATGGATACCAAATTAGTAATTCTTGGTCTCTAAACCCTCTCCATGCGGTAGAGGCTTCCGTTTTTGTCTTGTGCCCCAAGTTTTTTGAAAGGGAAAAAAACAAAGGTTTGTACGTCGTGTTGGTTCTGGCTATCTCTTACCCTCTCTGTTTGTCCAAAACTACAGGACTGCCACTGAGGTAACTTGCATTTGTCTTCTTCTCTATCTACAACGTCCCACAATTTACTGAGGGAAAAGGAAGAGACTCTGAGAGTATACACACACAGTTTCTGTGATTCACTAGCAAAACCACATCGGAGAAAAAAGGTATTTGCTTTCTGTTTTAGTAATGCCTTCTCTTTCACATCCTTAAGTTTGTTTTCATTCCTAATAAAATCTAGAAAATTAAAAAGAAGAAGGTTTTTTCATCACAACAAGTCATTTCCTTTTGTTTTCTATGTGATAAAAGATCATACATTTCTTCATATTTTTTTTGGTCCTGATCCAGAGAATAAGAAAGGTTGTTGCTTTAGGTCTTTGTTGCTCTAAAGAAGGAGACTTTTGAGTAGTTAAATCCTTGGATTATCTATTTCCACAAAGCATTTTCCTCATAAAACCCAAAAGATTTGTCTTTTACTCATAGTTCATGCAAAAAATCAAAATTTTGATGTTCTAAAAAACATGACTTTTATCATGTATATATGGTTTTTGTGAACTATAATCTCATATGGGTTTCTCTTTTGTTGAGCCCTGTAAGATGGAGAAACAAGAGTTTTCAGTGGGAGATCCATCCACAGAAATGAAGACAAGTAGTGACGGTTCTGAAGAGAAGTTTGTGTGGCCATGGGTTGGCCTTGTGGCCAACATACCAACAGTGGTTGAGAAGTCTGGTCGGAGAGTGGGCAAAAGCGGCTCAACATTACGTGATGAGCTCATCCACAAGGGGTTTAACCCAACAAGAGTCCAACCCATCTGGAACTTCAAGGGACACTCTGGTTTCGCCTTGGTGGAGTTCACCAAAGACTTCAAAGGGTTTGAGAACGCTATGAACTTCGAGAGGAGTTACAAATCAGATGGCCATGGGAAGAAAGATTGGGAGAAAAGTATTAAAAACTGCTTCTTTTTCAAGTGTTTTCTATTTAAGGTTTTGGTATGATGTTGAAAAGTTTCTTTCTTTTTGGAAAAGGTGTTCACTTGAGAGATGATAAGCCCTATGGATGGGTTTGTAGGGAGGATGATTACAACCGAAGTGGGATTGTTGGCAAGAATGTTAAGAAGAAGAGGGACTTGAAGAGTGTTTGGCAGCTTCAAGAAGAGGAGGAAAGGAAGATGATCCAGCTTGTTGAGAACATGTCTCAGTCTATTGAGATGAAGAAGATAAGCAAGCAAGAGCTCGAATACAGAGTGGATGTGACTTCTCGTGTTGTGGAGAGTGTTGAATTGCATAACTATCAGCTAAACGAAACGTACAAACAAGGTATGAATGAAAACACTTGAGTTGGTCTTAAAAAATCAAAATGGATTTGTTTTTGTTGCTGACATGGTTTTGTATACTTGATGAGTAAGAGGTTGAGAAGATGCAGAAGAACTTGGAAGAGCAGTATCAGCAGATTCTGATAGGACATGAGAAATCTATGTCTGACCTGGAGACAGAGAGGGAGAAGCTGGAGATTCGTGCAAGGCAGATTTACATAAACGAAGCTGAGATGGAAAAATCCAGACTTGAAATAGAAATGGTTGATGATTCTTTCCTTATATAAATTAGAACAAAAAAGATCATATAACTCAATGAAAAACCTGTTACCTTTTTTGTTTTTACAGAATCAAAAGGCTATGTTGGAGCAGAATGAAATGAACATGGAAGCTATGAAGCTTGCAGAGAAGCACCAGGCAAGTACTTCTTTAGTTAGACTACATATTCATCAACATACAAACCTTTGAGTATCTCAAAAACATGACAAACTTTTTTGCAGAAAGAGAAGGAGAAGCTTCATGAGAAGATAATGGAGATGGAAGCAAAACTCAACGAAACACAAGAGCTGGAGTTGGAGATAGAAAAGCTGAAAGGTAACACCAATGTGATGAAGCACATGGCGGATGGAGATGCAGATTTGATGGAGAAGATGGCCAAGACTCAGATAGAGCTTGATGCTAGAGAAGCGGCTCTACATGATAAGATAATGTCACAGACACAGAAAGAACGTATGGCCAACGACGAGTTTCAAGAAGCTCGTAAAGAGATGATTCAGGTACTGAATCAAACTAATTAAATGTCTGTTCTTTTTAAATGATCATACTATGTTGATGATGAGCAGTTCTGGAAGGATAAGGAAGATTTGGTAAGTGGAGAGAAGATAAGAGTGAAGATAATGGGGCAGTTAAACATGGATCCCTTTGTGGTAGCAGTGAAGAAGAAACATAGATGTCCACAAGCAAGAGCAGAGATAAAAGCTACGATCTTATGTTCATTTTGGGAAACACAAATTGGAGATGTGCATTGGCATCCATTCAAAGTAGATGAATCTGATGGAATCGCAAAGGTATGGAACTTAAACTACATATAAGATTTTAGACATTGTCCTTTATTATTACAACAAAGTATATCTCAAGATTCTCTTTACATGTTGGAAAATTGCAGCTAGTGGTTGATAACAAGGATGAGAAGCTGGTGAAGCTGAAGGATGAGTACGGTGAGGAGCTTTGCGATGAAGTGGTGAGAACGAAAAAGGAGATAGTGGAATACAACGCAAGTGGTGGGTATGTGATTTCTGAGCTGTGGAACTTTGAGAAGGAGGAAAAGGCTACAATGGAGGAAGCAACGGAGGTGATGTTGAAGATAAGGAAGAAGGTTTTGGCAACTAAGAACAAACGAGCGAGGCGTTGAGATTTGATATGCCGCAAGATCTCTACTTGAGTAAAATAAGATAGAACTTTTTAAGTAACAAACGTGAAGTGGGTTTTGTTTGCCTTTAGACAATTGCTATGTTCCTTCTTTTCTTATTACAGACTATTTTAAATTAATGTGCTAGTAATGTGACTGATTTTGCCAGTTTCCTTCAATGGTTTATCTCCCAAATATTTCTATGTTGTTTCCTCTGTTTCTAACTTGGAGCACAAGAAATGTTTAGTAACTGTGTGCTGCTCTAACGTAGAATACGACATAAAGTAAGTAGACATAACAAGAAGCGTCTGTAGTCCAACGGTTAGGATAATTGCCTTCCAAGCAATAGACCCGGGTTCGACTCCCGGCAGACGCATTTTTTAATTTCACTAAAAACAAAACCGTTTTGTAAATCGCAAAAAACGAATCACACCGCTTCTAAGGGTATAATCGTCAAAATAGATATTTTATCCATCGTTAAGAAGACACTCACAGGCCGCACATATTAATAAACGAATGTTGCGTGCACGCGCCGAATCGTATCGTGTGGCCACCATTTCTCGAACCGAACAGCCTCCACCACTAGCTTCTTCTTCTTCTTCTAATGTTTTGTCTTTCTGTTTTTTTCCCCGGCGAGAGATTAGATATTTTGTTTTATCATGGCAGCGGGCACTTGCACATCGATAAGGCCTCGCCTTATTGGTTCTTGTTCGACTGTTAGGTTGATTAACGGAGCTGGAGTTTCTTTCTCCGTTAGGATCTCTACAAGAACAAGAAGCCAAGGAGGTGGCTTCACAGCACCTGTGTCCTCACGTGAGGAAGGCCCTTCTTGTATCTTCGTTGGTCCGATTGATTCCGCTAGAAAAGAAACTCTTGAAGCTCTTTACCGCCAAGTACGCCTCCCTCAACTCTGTTTTTTTTTTCCTTTCTTGATAGTTATTGTTGCGTAGTGAAGTGAGTTGTTTTTGGTGGTTTTGTAAATGAATTAGGCGAAGAATGCTTACTACAATGGCAAGCCTTTGATACTTGATGACATGTTTGACAGAGTCGAGGTATGATAACCAGTTTGGTGTTATAAAGTTTCTAGCAAAGATATGGTAATTATGTAACTGTTGTTATGTTCTCTTGCAGCTTAAGCTTCGGTGGTATGGTTCGAAATCGGTTGTCAAGTATCCTCGGTGCAGCCTCCTGCGACACTCAACTTATGCTGATGCAGAGGTACACTTTGTTGGGGAGTTAATAATTAAATATCTTCGATAAGAAGTGGCTACATAGATATAAGATCCTTTCAGTGCTACTGAGTTATTTCCTGAGATATCTTTGGTCTTTTCAATGAAACATATGCTTTACTCTCTAGAAACAATTTAAAACTGTTTGTTTTTTTCCATTTGTGTGTCTTTGTACCACTTGTTATTATAGTGTGAAAGTATCACTTCCTCCCTCCGTTTACTAGGATTAGTATTATGATCATAGATATTTTTTTTGTTCTGGTGAAGAATGGTTTTGGCAAGGGTTGATATTGAGTTGAATCCTCTTTTTGTAGGACAGGATGATACATCTCAAGTTCTCCTGTTAGCTACCATATGGATCTTGATTCTCTTGTTTGGTAGCTCAGCATGCGTTCTGCCCACCTTTTATGGCCTCAGTTTAGTCTATGGAGGAGATCCTTTCAACTCAGGGCTTGTCTATATCAGCTCGTCTTCAGTGCCTCTTCTGACAAAGTTGAACGGCATCCTCCTCACCGTGCTAGGACCTGCTTTTGGATATCCCATTGCATCTTCTGCAGGTACACCAGAATCATGCTTTCACCTTATAAATTTTGCTGTTTCTACTACTCAGTCTGGTCGTAATAGCTTTATATCATTTACACACATATAGTGAGATAAAAGGATGTTGTTTGCAGTTGGAGTACTTAAAGGGCTATGGAGGAATGACTTAACGGCTCTAAAAGGAGACTGTCCGAATTGTGGGGAAGAGGTTAAAAAATTTTGATTGTTATCAAGACCGTCCTCTTTTCTTATTCAGTTCTCTTCACATATTTGAGTATGATGGAACTTGTCTATAGGTTTTTGCATTCGTTAGATCGGATCAATCAAACAGATCAGCTCACAAAGCTGACTGTCATGTCTGTGGGTGCACCCTGGAGTTCCGTACCAAAGTGGAGGTAAAGAATGACTCTCTTTTTCCCTTATTTTGTTTACCAAAGCACTGATTTACTGCGTTTGATGGTCATTTTTGGCTTACAATAATTGATTGTTTGGGTTTTGTGTGTGTTGGTGCTTCAGAAATCTGCGTTACCACTGGGGAGAAAATGGGTATACGGCAGGATATACCTTGTTTCACGGCCTAGGAGAGACCGGCGCTCCAAGTATTCATAGTTCGGACAAAGACCAGAGAATTTTTGGGATGGTTTCTCTACTCAATTGTGTATTTATTTTTCTAAAATGGGTTACTAGAAAGCTTTTGTAACATTCAAAAGATTCATAAACGTTTCTACACACTTTGAAAGTATAGTACTTTTTACTGGATTTCTTGAAAAGTTTATTGAATTCAAGTTGATCATAATATTTAGAATGAGCTGTAAAGATTTTAGATCTGTGATGCCTCAAAATATTGTTTTTATATTGTTTACCTTTTTGTAGAAAATTCAAAAAGTATTCCTTACTATTCAAAAAGAAAAGATGAGTCCAATCTGGCGACTACTACGCTTATTCTAATTTAACTTCTAACTATGCGATCCCAATTAGTGACCAACAATAAGAATCTTTGTGTAGATAAGGTGTTTTATATCCATTGGTAAGCTTAAGAGGATAAAATAATTACCATTCGCTCCCCCTAACTAATAAGACTTGAGTCTTAAGCCATGAGATTAATTTACTCAAAAACAATTACAGGACTAAGTCCCCATAGTTTACGTAAATTACAGATCAAACACGTTTTCTCCTCCCTTTGTTTAAGTCTCCCCCCTCCCTTTCTGTAAAGCTTCCAAAGCTTCTTTTTTATTCATTGAATTGTCTGGAAATATAAAAAAACGAGTCAGAGATCAGATTTGAAAAAAAAGAAGAAGATGGGGAGTCCAAAGAAGAACGAGAAGAAGGGGTTTATCGCCGCCATGACTTCTGGCTTCTCCATGTTTGGCAGCGCCATGTCTAGATCCGTCAACGGGTCTGTTTCCTTATTAAGAAGTCTTACTATTTCTGTCACAATTCTGCATGATATGTTGTGTTATAGATTCCTTATGTGTGTGATGGCTATATCCTATTGTATGTCTGCTATAACCACTTTGTTCCTTCAGGTGTTTGATTTTGTTGACTTTCTTTAATATTACAAAACATGGGATATGAATGATACTATTATTAATTCTTTCACAAGTCAAGAAAAACAGATCAAGTTTTGTTTCTTGTCTGAAATTTCCTGCATATTCGTTTCAATCTCCTTACTGAATTATATGTATTATGGAACTGAAGATCCTTCTCATTGAGTGTTCAATTCAAGTTTTGTTTTGGCTAATGGGTGTTGTTTCGATTCATTTCTTTTTTTTTTCAGGTTGCTTGCTTATGAAGGTGTTGAAGTCATAAATCCAGAAGGTGGTAAGGAAGATGCAGAAGAGGAAGCTCAGAGAGGGAGGTGGAAAGACGAGGTTTTACTACTTTTACATTTTTTTATTCGTTTTTTTCTTTCTTGATTGCAACTTTTGCGGAAACTTATCTTTTGATGTGATTAACAGGAACGTGATAGTTACTGGAAGATGATGCAGAAGTATATAGGTTCAGATATTACCTCAATGGTCACACTTCCTGTTATTATTTTTGAGCCAATGACTATGCTCCAGAAAATGGCTGAGGTTAGTATTCCTGTGTTTGTAAATTTTGTTTGTTTCTAGTGGCAAAATGTAAGATTTTTAAACATTTCTTGCAGTTAATGGAATATTCCTACTTGCTGGACCAAGCTGATGAATGCGAGGATCCTTACTTGCGTTTAGTTTATGCTTGTAAGTATATATTTTACAATTTGTTTTGACTTTATAATTCTGTAGTTGAATGTGTCTCTTTTTCTGTTCAGCATCATGGGCTATATCTGTATACTTTGCATACCAACGAACATGGAAGCCTTTCAATCCTATTCTTGGAGAGACATATGAGATGGCCAACCATGGTGGTATTTCATTTCTTTCTGAGCAGGTACATCATCTATACACTTCATTGTTATCAGCATAGTGGATTGATAATATAGTTAGTTTGTAATCAAGTTGTCTATCTTTACTCAGTTATAATATAAGAAACTTATTTGATTATTTCAGGTGAGCCATCATCCCCCAATGAGTGCTGGTCACGCCGAGAATGAGCACTTCACTTACGACGTCACCTCAAAGTTGAAAACCAAGCTCTTGGGTAACTCTGTTGATGTTTACCCTGTTGGAAGGTAAACTTCTTACTGCATAATATTCTTGTGTATGTTTTCACCTAAGCTCATGATGCAGCCTATCTATTGTCTTGCAGAACGCGTGTCACCCTCAAAAAAGATGGCGTGGTTCTGGATTTGGTGCCGCCTCTCACTAAGGTTCACAATCTAATATTTGGACGAACGTGGGTTGACTCACCCGGAGAAATGGTCATGACTAATTTAACCACTGGGGACAAAGTTGTTCTTTATTTCCAGCCATGTGGTTGGTTCGGGTAAATTGACAACACAATATTCTCTTAACTCTTTTCTGATACTCTCTGTTCATGTGATCCCAACATGCTTATTGATTAAAAGTTAACTTCCCTTATCTCAGTTCTGGTCGCTATGAAGTGGATGGATACGTTTACAGCGCAGAGGAAGAACCTAAAATCATGATGACAGGAAAATGGAATGAAAAAATCAGTTACCAACCTTGTGATACTGAGGGAGAACCTCTTCCTGGCACAGAGCTTAAAGAGGTCTCTTGTTTGTTTCTCTTTTACACTTCTTACCACATTGTACCTGATAGTATTTTCTTATGCTTTTTGGTATTGCTCTCTTCAGGTGTGGCATGTGGCTGATGTTCCTAAGAATGACAAATTTCAGTACACACACTTTGCACACAAGATAAACAGCTTCGACACAGCTCCTCCTAAGCTCTTGGCTTCAGACTCACGTCTCCGTCCTGATAGATATGCTCTTGAGCAGGGTGACCTTTCTAAAGCTGGTGCCGAAAAACACAGGTTCTTCATCATCTCTTCCTTCCTACTCGCTTATTTGTCACAATGTTCAAGTCCTTTTAAGTTTTTTAAAATAGGAAAGATACTTTAAGATTGTTTTTTTTTGTTTAAATATCATCAATGAATCCATGTTAGAGCACACAAAGAAACACAGTTATGCTCTGCTTACCATGTTCTTCGTGGTGTCTTTTTTATTTATCTCAGCCTTGAGGAGAGACAAAGGGCGGAAAAGAGGACACGAGAGACAAAGGGCCAGAAGTTCACACCAAGATGGTTCGATCTAACGGAGGAGATCACATCTACGCCATGGGGAGATATTGAAATATACCAATACAACGGCAAGTACAATGAACACCGAGATGCAGCAGCCTCCAGTGAAGTGAACCTCAAATCTATCGAGTTTAATCCATGGCAATATGGTAATGTATCAACCGAATGAGGCAATGTTGCATAGTTAAATACATGACCCCGACATAGTCAATGGTGTGGTTCATGGACTCGTGAAGATGAGTACAAAGTTGTTTTATACTTTTGTTCCAGGGTGAAAGTCTGGTTACGTAGTTTGAGTGGTGAAACATAAGATTGTGTTTAATGTCTTATTGTATCTTTGTTGAGTGAGTTACATAATTAGACACTTTTGTGTCTTTTCTTACTCAAAAGGACACTTGCTGCTTGTGAGACACAATTGCTAGATTCTATGCAATATTAAGACCACAATACCCTTCCACCGAGGATACAAGATTAGCTGACGTTGGGAGCGCTAGATACTAGTTAGGTGTTTAGTTGGCTTATCAATTAGTTTTGTATTCCCCACATATTTTATTGGTCATTTTATTGCAAATTCTAATGTATAAAAATTTGTATTTATGTGTGAAAGAAATTCTAACTTTTTTTCTTTTACATTTTGATATACATAATGTATATTTTTTTTTATAGATATAGATATATATGGATAGTGAAATAGTGGACGGAAGATGTGTGGGTTTGATGGGTTGTTCACGCATAAATACAGATTTTTATAAGTCTTTGAAAATGTTGTTTGGCTTAATAAATTACACTAAGCAATAGTATATTAAATGGAAATATAGATAATAAAAACAAAATAAACACTAAACATATATACAAATTATATATGATTATAAAAAGAAGTAAAAACAAGATGTATGAGAAAATTGTGGACTGAGGGATTGTGGATGAGCGACTTGTGGATGCAAATGGT